AGAAGGGGAAGGGGGGATAGAGAGGGGACTACAGTGGGTCAGCAGAGAGAGAGGGGGGCCACTGAGGGATCAGAGAAAGAGAGTGGCCGAATAAGAGAAAGGGGTCCATTGGGTGTCAGGTGAGTGTGGGCCACAGGGGGATGAGAGAGAGGAGGTCAAGTGAAAGTGTGGGGGGGGAGGGCAGAGAGAGGGGGGTCCACAGTGGTCCATGTGCATGAGAGAGGAACATTTGGGGCTCTGGTTACAGAAACTTATCGCAAGGTGGTCAGAGTAATCATTGAGGGCCCCGGTGGGAAAGACTTACCAGGGGGACACGGGGTTAGAGCGGATTCATGATGAGCTTGTAGAGGGCCGGGTGAGACTGACCGAAAGGATGTAGAGATGGGGGGGCTGCAGGACGAGTGTAAGCTCATATGGGGTGCGGGTCTGTTATCGATGTTCTGAAGGCTCGGACTTTGGTGTGTACTGAGCCAAACACTCTTCCTGAACTCTGTCTGTTATTTGCAGGAATTTTGTGTTCTTCAATATCCCCCAAATCCAGTACAAGAACCCCTGGGTGCAGATAATGACCTTCAAGAACATGACACCGTCGCCCTTCCTGCGGTTTTATTTAGGCGAGTATAAAATCCACAGCGATGGCTTCTTTCATCTTATTGTACTGTTCTCTGTGTACACAGTCAGGACGCTTACAGGCTCCTCCTCCTCCCGAGGAGCAATGTCAAGGGCTGTAGTCCATACCAGCCAATCGGAGGTCATCTCTCTGAGCTGACTTGAAACAATAATGTGTTCACTGTCATTGCTTTAAAGGGCCATTCACACCACAACGCATCATGCGTCCGTGCAGGTTGCGGAGAGCTTCATAATGCTTCAAAAACATAGGTCTGTCTGTATTTTAGCAGCTGAACACTCGGGTTACCGTGCATTGTGGCCCCCCTCTCTCTTACTGGGCTCCTCTATCTCACTTGTCACCCTCTCTCTCCTAACCTTCTCATCTGTACCTATGTGGCCCCCTCACTCCTGCCTGGCCCCCTGTGGCCCCTTCACTTTCTCTCTCCTCTCACACCTGGGCCCATGAACCTCTCTTGGCTATCTGTGATTCCCCGCCCCCGATTTATCTCTTGCCTATCCCTGTGACCAGTCTATCTCCCACCCAGCCCCCTCTTACCCCTCTCTCTCCCTTCGCCCCCCCCTCTTACCCCTCTCTCTCTTGGCCCCCTCTGACCCCTCTCTCT